AGGATGAGGAAAATAATGTGGTTTTGGAACAATGAAGCTGTAAATCTGTTCTAGTAGAACCAAAAATAAAATAAATAAATGTTCACTGTTAACCTACATTTTGAACACAAACAGCAGGGGGCAATCTGACCACTCTCCTTCTGAAGAGTGTAGTGCTTCAGGCATGCTGGGAAACGTAGTGTTCTATAAGAAGTGCACTCACTGAAGTCGTTGGACAGGCTGTGGCTGAGGTTCCTGTAGAACTCAGTCCGATGAGCTTTCTTCAGACCCGTACACAGACCGAAATCACTCAGCTTCACATGACCCTGTAAAACACACACACTCAGTGTTGAGGCGCCGGTTTACGCCCTTCACCCATTCAGACTGTTTGTTTTTTGGAATGTGTGTCCTGTGCTCTGTGTTGTTGTTTGTAAGTGTGTGAACTAGGCTAACTCCTCTATGGCTGTGTCTGTATGTGGTCTGTATGTGGTCTCTATGTGGTCTGTATGGGAGATATTAAAGCTCCAGGGAACCTAAACCTAAGTTTTCCTTCTAATTACGTTAATCTTGTTCTTATTCCACACAACATACATGATCAGAGTATGTCCTGTGAATAACGTCCACTGACTGATATACAGTCGTATGAAAAAGTGTGAACACCCATGATCAAATTACACGTTCTGTTGATTTAAAAGCTGCACTGTGTGAGATTTTGTTGTTAAAACTAAGAATAAAAACACACTAAATTATGCTGAGCTGCTGCTGAGAGTCGCCTGTAAAGCCTGAAATAATCATTTAAAAGTCAGAGGCGTCGGGTTTTTCACACCACGTCGTACGTCTTTACGTATTAACGTCACACACAGACTCAAAAAGAAGGTCCAGCTCGATGTTTCGGCCTCAAATGATCTCAAAATCAACATCATACTGATGAAGATGTGATGACAGTAGTAGATAATTCACTCACATCCTCAGAGACGCAATTGCTGTGTGCAATTACAAATTTCCACCAGAGAGGGCTCCAGATCCCCAAATGATACAGTGTTGCTTTAAATAAGTAAATAATAAGTAAACGTTAACACATCCTCTACAGAGAACAATTAAATGTGACATTTTTTCTGCAAAATTTATTGCCCAATTTCTACTTCTTTGCTGAGTTTAACAATATTAAAACATAAATATTGAAATTTTGCACAGGTCAGGTTTTGTTTTATGTGTTAAACTCAGTAAATAAACAGTACCTGTGTGTTAAAGTGTGCAGTAGTGTGTCTCTGTAGAGGATGTGTAACTTATTTACACTCAGAACATCAGCAACATGGAACCTGGGGTGCACAAAGTTCTGCACACGACTTCAAACCCCCTCTCCGTGTTTGAATCAGAGTGACCGAGAGAGAGAAAGCCTGCCTGTCGTCTGTCCGTTCATTGGTTCTAACCGGTCATGCTATCATGCTAATACTCTCTATGTGTGCACTCCCTGGACCACCCAGCAGGAAAGTGAATATGAGGCATATTAGGCCACACCCACACGGCTCTCAGACAGGTCTGACAGGCAGTGTTGAAGCCTGTTTATTATATTTCTATCTTGTTGGGTTTGTCATTCGAACTGTGCTGTGGGTTTAATGTAAAATTAGCTGTGCTACTGTTCTCAACATCTGACGCTGTTTCCTCAGAATGTAAACCTCAGGGAGGTGCTGGTGGTGAAATTATGGTTAAAAACATAAAAAGTAGGCGACTACAGTGATCACAAACTGAAAAAGGAAGAGAAAAGCAGAAGAGGAAGAGGGTGTGGGGCAAGAGAGAGAGAGAGAGCGCGAGAGCGCAAGGGAGAGAGAGGGAGAGAGAGAGAGAGAGAGAGAGAGAGAGAGAGAGGGAGAGAGAGAGAGGCCGAGAGGGAGAGAGAGAGAGAGAGAGAGAGAGAGAGCGAGAGAGAGAGACTGAGTGAGAGAGAGAGAGAGAGAGAGAAAGAAAGAGTGAGAGAGAGAGAGAGAGAGAGAGAGAGAGAGAGGGAGAGAGAGAGAGCGAGAGGGAGAGAGAGAGAGAGAAAGAAAGAGGGAGAGGGAGAGAGAGAGAGAGAGAGAGAGGGAAAGAGAGAGAGAGAGAGAGAGAGAGAGAGAGAGAGGGGTAGTGTAACAGGTTCTCATGCTGTCTCCTTCATACTGATCAACAGAATAATGTAAACAGCACAGTTAGAGACTGTAAACACTTGAAATGGTTCTTCAGATTGATAGAGAAGGTGTTGTATACGGTTCTATACAGCACCAAAAAGGGCTCTGCTGTTGTTATAAGCTTGACCTCATAGTAACAGCAGAGCCCTTTTTGGTGCTGTATAGAACCATATACAACAACATACATATACAGTCAATCTGAAGAACCATTTCACAGTGTAGAGAACCATTTAAGCATGAAAATGTGTTCATGGTTCTCTATAGAACCGCTGTCTTTACTAAAGACTGTAGCTCAGGGGTCGCCAACATGTGGCTCCGGAGCTGCATGCGGCTCGGTTTACTGTCCTGTGGCTCCACAGCTGAATCAGATTAGTAGGTAAAAATAAAATAATCCTCCTTTACAGTAAAATAAAGCTCTGCTGATCGTTCAACACAGTTTAACAATAAATGGTCTGAAACTCTGGAGTTAATGTAGAACTGCTGATTCACCCTTTAACCCTGAAGATCAGCGCAGACTGCTGGTCACCATAGCAACACAGACAACAGTCTCGCCTAGCTAGTAGCTAACGAAACGGCAAAGAGAGAGATTTAAGATGAACATCGATAATTTGGAGACGAATGGACTGATTAGTGTTTATAATCACTCCAGCTGTTTTCCTGATACGTTTAATCTGCAGTGAGAAACTGAAACACTAAAAAGTCGCGAAGCTGAGAGACGTTTTACTAGAAACTCTTCTTCTTTTGAGGAAAAGTTTCCTGCTGGAGATGAGAGAAAAGCGGCTATAGCTGAGCTAAAGCTTGAAGCAGAGCAAAGTAAGTCTGAGTTTGTGTTTATATTCTTCAGTCTGTAGTAGAACATCAGCACAGACTGAGACAGATTTACAGCCAAGATGGTAAAACATTACTGCAATAAAATGGACAGAAAATGTTGTGGCTCCCAAAGTGGTTTGATTTTTGTTGAAACAGGACAAAACGGCCCTTCTTTACATTCGGGCTGCTGACCCCTGCTCCAGAACTTCATCAGTGGTCAGTTTCTGAAAACAGAGCCGCTCCTGTCTGGATATTTTTGGGTGGACGGTCCCTTTAGTCCCCTCTCGGTCATAACCATCAGTAAAACGAGAACTCGTTAAACACAGCTTTAACTGTCGAGTCTGGAGCAGTGAGACAGCGGCGCTCTGTGGCTCTGAGCACTGCTCAGTTTCTCAGCGCGTCATTTTGTCATTACTATGTGAAATTAAAAATGTGACAAATAAAAAAAAATTGTGGTGATGGCGTTAATGAGCTCAAACCCCACAGGAGGCATCACATGACCGCGGTATTGTGGTAATGCAGTTATCATCACAACCCTACCACACACTGTCCTGGCGGTCTCGGTTTCCACTGATGGTGAGGCTGATAAACTGTACAGTAACAGAGGCCGTGCGTAACTGTAACCTGCGCAGTGCAGCTGTAAAGGAAACGCTAAGAAAATAATAAAATAACCTTCGAGTCCAGCAGCAGGTTGTCCGGTTTGATGTCTCTGTGAATGAAGCCCAGTTGGTGGATGGAGTCGATGGCCAGCACCGTTTCCGCCACGTAGAACTGGGCCTCCTCCTCCGACAGGGTGTCCTTCTTCATCAGCAGGGTCATCATATCTCCTACAGGGGGCGCAGTCAATAACACAACACTAGTTTTAGACACACAGAAAGCTGTAAATATTAAGAAAAATGTGAATGATGAACAGAGCTGTAGATGATTCCATAACCCTCTGGTCTCTAAACTCATTCTCTCTCCATCTGTTCATATATAAATACATATATATATATATATGTATAAACTCTCCTTTAAAGGCTCTTCATATATCATGATCCTCTTATGTTTCATATCTAAATGCTCCGTTATCTTCATCACTACTTTCCAAAACCGCTGCAGCAGCTTCAGCAGCTGTAAACTCTCTGCACGCCGTTTCACATGAGTCTCCGATGTGGACTGAATGAAGAATGAAGGGTGTCCGGCGTGATGGTCAGTCCTTAGTGATTTCCTGAGTGTCCATTGGTCAGTTTCACACAGAATGTAGACGGACACACCAATCCACCAGCTCCACACGGTGAGAGGCAGATGACGTGTATCTCAGCCCCTCTTCATAGGCTCATAACTCCGGATGTGAGTCTCGTATGATCTCGAGATAAGATGGAATGGAAAGGGCGACTCTACAGATTCAGGAAGTGTTTGAACTGGATTTCTGAGCTGGATCATCACAAAGATACAGACACAGACACAGATATAGAGACAGAGAATCTGATGCGCTGGCGGGTTTGCGGACCCCAGAGGGTTTATAATGAGCTGATTAAAATTAATATTCAGAGTGCTTCATATTTGAAAAGAAGTGACTGAATCTGACTGATTAAATAGTCACAGTGTTTATGATAAAAAATTATTATAAATATAAAATTGTAGGTAATTATTTAACAACATTCACTGGTTTTCACTGTAATAACTTCTTATTGTTCCCAAAATACTTTAAACTGTGAATAAAACATCAGTTTTTTGTTTTGGTGTCTAATTTATAACATTTCAATCTGCACTGTATGAATTATAACAACTATGACAAGTCATTCCAAACCTTTGTACAGTTGTACGCAAAAGTTTGTGCACCCCTGGTCAAATTACGAGTTCTAAATGTGAAAGTAAACGCGTCCTCTACAGAGACACACTACTGCACCTTTCAATACACACCTACTGTTTATTTATGGAATTTAACATATTGGGGAAAGTATTAGACATAAAATGTGGCCTGTGCACATTTAATATTTAATATTTAATGTTTTATTTTTTCCAATCTGTCAAACTCAAATAAACAGAAACTGTGCAGTGAAATGT